TAATATAAATTCCTACACCCCACACATACACACCATACTCCACACATCATCCTTTCATCCCACACTACACACACCACAGTCAACGCATCATCTTTTCCTCCCACACTACACACAACAATTCAACGCATCATTATCTACACCACATCTTTCACACCACACACGAGGACCCCAAACACAGTCAACAAAAGGGACTGGCGGACGGCGCCCAACGCTCTTTCGATTAAGATCCGTGCGCATATACGCATCAAAAGCCAGTAGCTTGCTTCGTCGCGATCGTATTTTTACATTTTTTCATCGTTGGCAACCAAACCGTCGCTGAATCAATTGGTAAGTCCGCGGGTTTGATATCCACGATTACCCCGTTTATATCGAATTATCTAATATACTATCATAATATCCTAAACAACTTGTTATAATATATTACAATAATATTATATGTAAATCGCATTTCATTTCAATTTTCAAACGCATCTACATATCGGCACATAGTTACATACATATGTAAGTACAATTCAAATTCAAATCGTGATATTATCACTTATCAGTAAAAAGTGTGCGCGCATTGCTGCTATATGTACATCCCAGCTAGAACAGTGATGGTTACGTTAATTAGTGACATGCCGGTAACACGTGCCAGTTTAATTGTCACACTTTTCTATAATTTTCTTAAGATTGAATCAAAAAAGCTCCCAAAACTTTTGTATATATGTGATTTTTTATCACTTTCTCGCTGACATATTTTCTGCCGTAATAAAACTATATACTTCTTTCTCGCACTTTCATTAAATTTAAGACAAATCGGCAAAACTGCTGCATCGGTGCATTCCATATTAGCGTAGTGGGCAAACCACTCGCTTACCGTTCCCTCAGTCTAGAGTTCGAAACGCGAAATTTTTTTTATTTTATTGAAATGTTTATATCAATTTTATTAATAGTTATATTATACTTTTTTGAGTTTAAGAGAAACTACAAATAATCTATAATATTATATTTTTCTAATTACGTTAGATTACTTTAAATTCATTTTCATAAATATTTTTAAGAAAAATTTAATTACATAGTAAGATATAGACTTTTAAAATAAACATTCATACTAAAGCTATTATAGTTACAATATTACAATTAATTTTTGTGTACACATTCTTAAATCCTACTACATTTTTTTTAAATTATTATCTATTTGGATTCATTCGATTCCTCCACAGCTTTTCGCTTCCTGTATTTCTTTTGTTTGCACCTATGGTGGCTCATTTCGATGGACTTCCGAATTTGTTTTTCGAAATTCGCCAGTCCACAAGTAACGAAAGAATCTAATAAATTATAATGAAGAGACAAATTAAAACACATCCTCTTAACTAAATATG